CGTGAACAGCTCATCGCTCACGTCCTACGGCCTAAAGTGGTTATTATTAATTTTAGATTTGAAGCTTTCGTGTCTTAGTTTTTTCGGTAAAGTCACGTAGGTAAAAAATGAAATTAAAATTAATAAAAATAAAATGATAAAAGTCACGACGTTTCGGAGGCAACACAAGTCTCCGTCATCAGGTGGGACCGTCACAGCCAGATTTGCTGCATCAAGTGAGGACGGAGACTTGTGTTGCCTCCGAAACGTCGTGACTTTTATTTTATTTTTATTAATTTTAATTTCATTTTTTACCTACGTGAATTTACCGAAAAAACTAAGAGTATGGTTATAATTAGCCCGTAGATCCCACTCAGTTGGCCCAGGAGCTCCCTACTTCGATATAAAGGCCCCTTGCATTCAAACCTTCGTCATGATCATCATCATCATCATCGTAAGCCACGGCCTCTGCCCAAAGGCTCGTTAATTGGGACTCTCTTGGCTGCACCCATTTGACCCCCTTCCAGTTGGAGATCCAAATCTCGAGGAATTCTGGTGTCGAGTCAGGTAGGAAGAGGCATCAGGTCACGTGGACTGGGCGCCCGTACTTTATTTAAAGTGGACAAAAGAGAAGGCGGTGATTACTGCACGGCTGAAATGCAATTGTCAGGTTCATGGAAAGCAGCCGAAATCAATGGTAACTTTGATTTGTGTTATATTCAAGAGCAATGCTATTTTATCACAAGCGTAGATGTATGCAAGGCAGTTCTATTGAGATCGTTACAGCTCGTTCGCATAGGCAGTCCTGGGCCATGGGTTACATACATCAATGTTACAGAAACGATTGTTCTGTTAACGGCAGCTTGACTGTGTTTTTATTTTATTTAAACATGGTTAACTTTAGCATCCTAAAGTTACTGAAGTCAGGCATTAATGCTGTTTCTATTGCATGCAAAAATATTATTCAGTATTATTCAGTTCAGTTGAACCTGTTACTGTCTTGTCTTAGATATCAAGCAAGTCATACAATGTCAGACCTATTGTATACATTTTGAATACACCAATGTTATCTGTTATGGAGCCACTTAATTCAAACTGGAATTAATTTAAGATATCTGTAAAAGACATCTACTTCATAGACGCACGCTATTTAAAATGTACAGTTTTCATGGGAAGGGTGTTGTGAGCTATTTTGTAGGCACTCATACTGTATTGCAAATATAGCCTCGACAAATTGAAACCTTAAAACAAATTGGCAACTCAAAAGGTCCTTCGGGGGTTAGTTCAATGAAAATGGGCAACATTTGCCCATGTCATTTCACTGTAGCCATGTCGATTCACGACTCTGCTTGTCACAGCAACTCAAATGAAAAAGGCTGCCACGCTTAACAGCCGAACAACTTTTTGCTGTCAAAAGAAAATCAGTTGCCCACCTGCATGGTCATGCGGCTAAGGGTTGATTGCCAAGCCTCTATTTACATGTTCGTGGAAATAAATAAAAACAGGTGAGTTACCGTATTCTCCTGCTTATAAGACGCCCCTATGATGGGCATCAGTGAAAAATAGCTTTGTAGCTCATCGGATTCGTCCAGTATAAATAAATACAATATTCTGATTATTTAATCCTGGTATTTAAAAATCAAACGTTTGGGGTGCGTCTTAGGATGCAGTGTCACGAGGGTTTATGTAACTTTATTAACAACGGTCACAAGTTTTGTGTGCGTCTTTCCGGAGCACCTTATACTCCGGAGAATACGGTAACATTCGTATTCCCAAAACAATCCCTTCATGTTCCTGGGTTTTCTAGCTCGGAGTTTGGGATCGGAAAGTATCGGTTAATATTAATGTACCCCTGAGCTCTCTGTTCAAACTCTCCTTGCAGACTCGTGAATGCGGAGCGATGATGTTGTTGTCCGCTTCAACCTGCATCGCTGGGGTCGTGATTTGTGATTTTTTTTTAAATGAAGTCATGATCAGGTGTCGGCAGATTACACGGGTACTGCTTGGAAGCACTGGATTAATTTCGATTTCTACTGGTGCAAATACATGTTTCTTATTGTATACCTATGTGTACATACACACACATACACACATCCACACGTATTACGTACACACGTCGTTACGTGCATGTTATTAGGACAACACAGTGTTTATTTGTTGCATGTGACTATCCCCGTCGTGATTCATTCCTTTACGAATGAAAAGAAACGAGCACTCGTGTTTGGTTGCCAATGCTAATGAGTCAAATGCATTCTCTTTACTGAGGTTACGTATACCATGGCAATGTGTTTAGCGTGTTCTATGCTAACGTTATTACTGGCTGCAGATTCAGAGCGGAGACGCTTTGTTTGCATCGTTATTAATCCCTTTGATAGTGGAACTAAAAAAAACCCACCCTTTTGCAACGAACTGCCCTTGCACGAGACATGATGGAACTCCTAACAATATCGCAGCAAAACTGGTATTTTTTCTATTTTCTATTTTTTTCACCTGCCCTGAGAAGGAAGTTCAAGATTTGCAGAACCAGGCGTTTCTTCTCTTCAGTTCGAGCATCACGCACCGACTGGATTTGGGAAAATCAGACTCATTGCGCGTTGAGAATTCCTCGGTGACCTCTGAGAGGTCAAATCACGTTCAAGGCTCTCGCGAGACGCTGCGTCGCCAGCAAACTCCACGGGGTTTGCCGACTCGGCTCCCTGCCATCTGCCACCGAAACTACGCGGCCACCTACATAGTGTCTAAGTATCAAAGATCAAAGATCCCCCGTATAGCTATAACAGACTGTAGGGGCAAGTGCTGTTAGCGAGCACCTATGAAGGCCAGAACGGTACACGAGGGGGTGGGTGGCCAGCACCACGCCCGACCGCCTTTGTCTCCCTAGCGACGATGTTTACACACCGCACCAGGTACTCATTTGAGGCTGAGTCGACCTAGGGGAGGCCCAGGACCGGTTCAGATAATCGTCACTGGTGTTTGCCGTGAGCGGGAATCGAACCCGTGTCGCCAAGTTCGTAGTGCAGCGCGCTAACCGCTACACTACCGCTCCCCCTTGTCTATATATACACACACACACAAGAACGTGATTGACGTTTGGGTGTCTGTTCCACCAGAAGAGGTGTGGCTATTGGGACCAAGAGGGGGGTGGGGGAGGGGGGGCTGTGGGGGAATGATGGAGCAGGCTGGGTCACAGACGTGCAAAGGGCAAGGTTATGGGGAAGGTGTGTGAATTGAAGCCCATGCAAAGCCATGGGCTGCCTCACGTCATATACACGTACGTAGATTTCGATTTAAAGCTTTCATGACTGCAGGGATTCATCTTCTTGGTTCTTTCGGTAAAGTCACGTAGAAGGGAAATAATAAAATAATAAAAATAAAACATAATAAAATAATTCTCACGACGTTTCGGCCACAACGCAAGCAGCCGTCCTCAGGTGAAGACCGACAGATCTGGTCTTGTTGTGGCCGAAACGTCGTGAGAATTATTTTATTATGTTTTATTTTTATTATTTTATTATTTCCCTTCTACGTGACTTCACCGAAAGAACCAAGAAGACACGTACACAGAGTACCAACGGAGCATTGCAAGTCCATTAAAACGTTGCCCTTTTGTGACTGCCGCGACCACGTGAGCGGATAACTGTTGCACGGGCAGTGTTAATCAGCGATTTTGGTGTTCCATTGCCCACGACAGATGTCACTCCGATTCGAATGAATCGGAGTGACATCTTGGTGTTCCATTGCTGGCTCAGCAGTGGAGCTGGTCAAATAACAAGTATAACCCGTAAAAACAAAGTTTTTCACTATAAATCCTTTATATGTGTGGCGGCTAAAGTCCTCTCGTCCTCTGGCTTGAGATGGCTGCCACCTATGGGTCAGATGATTGCATGGCAGCATTAAGCAATTGGTAATTAAATATTATATTTTTGTCCTAAAAAGTGTAAAATTTTGGAAAAAAATTTCACGAACATGCATTGTCACGCACAACGAGTCTGTGTGCAAAATGTCAGCTCGATTGGATCACAAGAAGTGGGTTAAAAAACGACCGAAAGATTTGCACGGTCCTAAGCAAGCAAGCAAGCAACTGAACTTAATATAAAGGATTTAAAAAGGACTAAATCTCGGTGGTTGATTTCGTTTTGGGAATGGAGCGGGTCGTTTGAAGCGCGCGCATTTGGATGCACAATCTGCGAAGCCAGAGAGGGCTCAAACATTACCGGAGTACTTTGTCGGGACGTTGCGTTCCGAATTTGCACGTGAACAGTTTTGGGTGGAGTTTTTATCAACTCCGCGTCGGGAAGATTCCGCGCAGTCTGTAGAACTCTCGCGATTCCAGAAGCGCACTTTGAAACGCACGATATGCAGCCATTGCCCGCCTCCTACGGCGCGAACGAGATTCGAGCGCGGCGGTTAAACTTTTTTGTCAGCAAAAAGATTTCCATCCAGAGTAAGGTGGAAGGCGCAACAGCAAGAAGGCGCGTGCTTGAGCAGCAGAGGAGGAGACGCGACACTTGGGCGAATGTGCCCACATGAGGAAGCGCATTCGCCGCACTCAAAACTCGTTGGTGCCATGAAGGCGACGGCCACATTTCATCCAGAAGCGGATTGTTCTAAAAAAAAAAATCTAGATCGCCGCTAATCCAAAAAATTTGAAGGTGCGCACACACAAAATGCAACGGTCGGCCTGACGACACATTTTTCCTGATGTAAATTTGAAGCTGAATAGAATCTAAACAAGTGGTCAACTTTCGTTACTTTTCACGCTCGCGCCAAAAGAAATGTAAAGTAAACGTGGGGACAACAAGGGTCAAAGTAGCACAGAACATACGGATATATATAAATATGAATTACAAATCTTGATTTGAAGCTTTCGTGACTGCAGGAATCCGTACTCTGTGTTTCTTTCGGTAAAGTCACGTAGGTACCTATGTGACTTTACCTACGTGACTTTACCGAAAGAACCAAAGAGTATGAATTACAAATGTATGCACACATATCACAGCATACTTGTTATATGCAGCATCCAAAGATAATTTTGTATTTCGATGTTGACAAAAAAGCAAACGACATCGGTTATATACTGTATACACACAGACACACACAACAGAGTTCTGACGCATATTGTTGCTAGATGGTGAATGGGGGGCATTGCAGTCTGGATTATACAGATGCTGAACGAGATCATTCGGCCGGCGTCATGCCCACCGTTCTCGCCACTCATTCGGAAGCAATTTTATGTCACAAACACAAAAACCCCAACGGAGAACTCCGAGGCATTCATTGATTGTGCACACCGAGCCCCGTTCGTGTGTACGTGCGTGTACGTGCGTATGTACGCGTGTGTACGTGCGTGTACGTGCGTATGTACGCGTGTGTACGTGCGCGTGCGTGTATGTACATGCGTTGTATGTACGTGCGTATGTACGCGCGTGTACGTGCGCGTGTGTACGTGAGCATTACACACGCGCACGTGCGTGTATGTGTGTGTGTACGTGTGCGGCGTTGCGGGTTTCTCGACCGTCAAGCGAGCCAAGAGGCTCCACGTCGCTCACAACAGAAGGGGCACGCGGGGCTCTGAAGGTCTGTGGAGTAAAAAGATTAAGAAACAAGAAAAGCTGCTGCTGCTGCTGATGATGACGACGACGCCGATGAGATTGAGCTCCGGTAGGATGACGGGTGGGCATTCGCATGCAACGCGCAAGGTCGTCTACACGGCAGTCAATTTGACTCAAGTAAAAACATTTTTGTTAAAACCATCAAATGATTTTCATGTTTTTTTTTTCTTTCAGCTTTTTTTTTTAAACTGCCAAAGCGCCACTTGATTCAATTTCAAATTGGAAGTCTTGTCCATCACCGGAATTGCGTTACCAGCAAACAAGATTCCTGACAAGGAAACAGCGCAGTGCAACAGGCGAGGCGCTAGAGGCCCATCCACAGCGCCAATGTCTCTCAACTTCACCTCCTGGCCCTCCACTCGCGTCCACAACGCGGGCCTTGTAACCTTTTCCCTTGTCCCCGATACATTTACAGTGTCCTAAAATTGGGGGGGGGGGGGGCATAGGCATCATTGAGTGCAAACATGAATCTACAAACGAGGCCTGTTTTGTGCAAATCGTGCAAGCAAATGAGGCCAAGGCCAGCGCATTTGATTTTGTCCCAAAGCAGGAAACCAGGGCTTTTAAGCCAAGGATCCTAAGAGATTTTGGGATCTGTATCTTGAAATGGGAAAACGGCTTCACAGAAATCCTCGATCAATCGGGTCCACTGCGGCCATCGCGGAGACAAATCGATGTCTCCAACGTCACCCTGCCCGGGGCCGACAAAATGGGATGCTCCAAACCATGATGGCCCGCCCCACGTGTGAGCAGAGATCAGGTACGACACAACGGGCTGCTGCAGCTCCTACAGGTGTGGCAGTTTATACTGGTAGGAACCTCCTGGTTACACCAGCCCACAGGGGATTATTCTGTCCGTCCGTCCGTCGTGCATCCAAAAATGGGAGGGGTGGGGCTGGGTGGAGAGGGGAGGGTGGGGAGGGGCTGGGTGGGGGGTTGAAGGGGTGGGGCTGGGTGGGGAGGGGCTGGTCACCCCGCGGTGCCCTTATAAAACTCAACGTTTAACCTACTCACACCGGCTTGTGCCCGCCCTCACAGTCGGCCATATTTGCGTAATACACCACGCCGCCGTTGACCCTGGCCATTGACCGAGCAACCGAACGTTCCTACCAGCTCCCTCCGCAGGAATGTGTTCTGTGGGTCATTCCATTGCACGCAGTGGCGGGGTGGGTGTGTGGATGGGGGAGGGGGGTTATGAAAATTCCCTTTCACGTGAGCATCCACATATTAAAGTATGGTTAAGTGCGAGTATAACCTGCGGAGGGCATTGATAAGTTTGTAAAAAAATGTGAATTATTTGACGATATACAGCATGTGTATATGTATGTGCATATATACACACACATATGTAAGTGTGTGTGTGTGGGTATATATATATAAATGACATTGATAATCATGTATGTTTTTCAGAATTTGGCAGTTTTTCGATTTCAGTGCATGTAAGCATACATTAGATTTCATAGTGCATGTCAACCGCTAAATTTACATTACAGTATTAGTTCAATATAGAACCGTTATAGAATAGCTAGCCCTAATATATATGTGTCATATAATTATATTTTATGTACAGTATACGTATAGAAAATGTATGAAGTGCAATGAATTATTTTATGCATTGAGTGATTTGTTTCAGAGATTTCTCAAGTAAAATTTGCCTCAGATCCCCGTTCGAAAAGCGCGTAGAAGCAGCATTGCACTAATTGCTTTATATCTCACACAGTTTAGCACTTCATGCAAAGTTTTTTTGTTTAATGTTTCCTTGGTTGTATAAGCCGTGACGTCGCGGGTCGTCTTCTGGGTGCCATCGCTTGACCTTTGCTTGACCTTTGCTTGACCAGTAGACCGTCCCCCGACACAGTCTTCAAGGCCTCCTGCACTGTTTCGTGGCGACAGCAACAACAGGAAGGGCTATCATTGGCACGGCCACATCACTCGTTTAAATGTGCACGCTGAAAATGCATTTATCTAGATTTGAAGTTTTCGTGACTGCAGGGATCCATACTCTTTGGTTCTTTCGGTAAAGTCACGTGGGTAGAAAATAAAATGAATTAAATCACGACGTTTCGATTGCAACACAAGCAATCATCATCAGGTGGGAAACCCACAGAAATTTTTTTTTTTGCTGAAATGGGAGAGAGAGTTGCCGTTATAAGAGGTTATTTTATACCTCCGTGACTTTACCGAAAGAACCAAAGAGTATGCATTTATTTATTATTCACAACTTACTCATCATCTCGAGATTGAAAACTCATTGCAGATTGATTACTCGTTGCTTTAGAATGGCTTTTTGTGTTGGCTTCGTTGTTCTTCCGCCCTGCACCTGCGATTAGCACGGTTCGCTACATACGGTGCGAAAAGAGTTCAACGTACATACACACGCGATAGATTTCTTGGGTGAGGCCCCATAATGATTTGAGGCCTTCCGCCACCAGACACAAGCAAGCAACATGAATTGTTTTGTGCACGACCATTCACCGTGCCAATTTAATACATATTTCTCAGTTCACCCATCGGGAAGTTGAAAAACGATTCCATTTGCTAAATTTGGTTGTGAGTATTGCTCTTTAACTCTTTAAAAAACTATACCGCGGCATTTTTAACACGCAACAGATTTCACACGGACAAGCGGGAAGGCAGCCAGAACCGGCACGGCCAACAATTGCCCAAGCTCTGTGGCCCTATATTTGGGACGTTTGTCCAACTACATTTAATGAGTGTTCAGACACGCGGCAGGATACCGGAATACCTGGAGAAAACGAATGCACGCAGAATGGGGGAGGGGGGGGGGGGCTCACACAAAATCCTGTACAGAAGGAAATCAATCCGCTTGCTGTACTGCCATACCCTAGTGAGCCGGGAGATGACAACTTTGGAGTCCACTGGTGGGCAGTGCCATGAATTTGTGTGATCTGCACAACGTCCAAAGTGCTGGATTTACAGACTCATATCATCTGTTCCACTCTTGTAACTCTTGAGGTTGAGGGTTTCTAATTTAATCTCTGTTGGCTCACGCAGAACGACATGCTCAGGATGTCATCGTGCCAAAAACACGTTGATGGCACCACACCTCTGGACACTTTCTATCCCCTGCCAGAATCCGCAGCTGCTGGACAGTAAACATTTGCATACCTCTTCTTGGTTCTTTCGGTAAAGTCACGTAAATTCCTCTTGATATGCAAATTATTTTGTCAAGACGCTCTTCGCCCCTCCATCCCAGCATAAATAGTCGCTCCAAGCCTGGGGCGTGCCATTCAGACTCTGTCTCCTTGACAGACCTGTTCTCTACCTGAAGACGGCTGTTTGCGTTGTGGCCGAAACGTCGTGAGAATTATTTTATTATGTTTTATTTTTATTATTTTATTATTTTCCTTCTACGTGGCTTTACCGAAAGAACCAAGAAGATGAATCTCTGCAGTCACGAAAGCTTTAAATCGAAAAATTTGCATACCTATCAACCCCTAATCAGTGCCTACCTTAACACAGACCAAGTCAGACCTTATTGGTCACCCCGTGCCCTTATACATCTCAAAGTTCATCCTATAAAGTCCCATCACAAGAGAGAAACACAGACATTGTTTGGCCCTATTGAAACGGCTGTACGCAGTATGAACCTAAAAACTAAACTTCCCTGTACAAGAATACGGGGTAAATCGTATGGGTTGACAGTTACGCATTTGACCTCCACGATCTACTCGGAAGCGACTTGGTGTGGCCCCCATTGCGGACAAGATGCTTGAGGCAAGGCTTCGGTGGTACGGCCATGTGATGCGAAGTGAAGAGTCATCAGTGGCCAAGACTGCTGTGCGTATTGAGCCAGAGGGCCGCCGTCCACGCGGACGTCCGAAGAAGCGATGGATGGATCGAATAAAGGAAGACATGAAGACGATCAACGCATCCCTGGACCGAGCCAAATGGAGAAGACAATGCCGAAAAGCGGACCCTGCGCCACAGCGGGAACAACGCTAGGAAGAAGAAGATCTACTCGAACGGTGTCCCAGTCTGGCCTTCCCTTTGCTCGCCGAACTCACGGAGCATCTTCGAAATCAACTTCACAGTCGTTATTTGTTTCGCCTGATCACATCGACAACACTTACCGGCCTTGTTCTCTATTCGACGTCTGCAGCACTTATCCTGTCTGGCCACGAAATTCCTAGCATCCGTCTCAGACACCTGTGCCCCGACAACTTCTGTGCGAGCCGCTTAGTTTGGGGTCCAGCTCTCTGATCCGTGCGGCAACACAGATGACGCAGATGCTGCCGTTTCGAGCGTAGGCAGCCTGTCCATAACGACCGTGTTTTGAACAGGAGCTGTCTGCATTTCAGACAAAATCCATTTTCAGTTGTACGCATCGCTGGCTAGTTTGTGCTTACTGTCTTGATTATCAGTCAAACGCTCGGGAACACATTTCTGCAACAGACTGCCCGCCTTCAGCAGAAACAAGCTGCCATTTGTTTAATACGCCTCAATCCATAACCTCCGTCTAATGCCCTCATCAATTATTCCTCTCTTGCCTGCCGTGCTTCCTCCACTCTCTCTCTCTGCTCGACGATTTGTTCCCAGTGGGAGCCGCGATGTGAAACGAGATGCGAGCGTATTCGAGTTACTCGCCCGGGTAAAAAAAGGCACGGCTCATCAATAGAGCGACTGAACGATGCGGTCAGCAAATCAGAATGGATCGCGCTTAATGGTGTCGGTGAAAATTCAGCATCCACAACATAAATAGCACCCGCCTACCATAAAATTAAATAAATATAAAAATTAATATATTTTTTATTTATATTTCACTACCCACAGCCTTCTGGGAGAGCGTCGTGTTGTCAGCAACAGCGGTTCAAGACAAGAAAACGCAGGAGCGGTATCGACGATGGGTCAGAGATTCATGAAACGGGCCTACAGGCACGGCTATGCCTTGGTACTTCAAGTCTGTGCTTACAAAATCTCAAGAGCGCGCCTTTAAATTTTGCATATTGTTTGTCGGTGTTTATTAAAAAAAAGCACACATACAGTGCTTTTCAACACTTTTTTACTTTATTATTTCTCACGTCCGTGCTTGGTGGAGTTCTAGTTTTAATGGGCTACGCAATAGGATCAAGCTTTTTGTTATTCCAATAAAAACTCAAATTTTTATGTTTATTGCTTTTTTACCCTTCTATCTGGCAACAAAACTGACACCTTTTTTTACAAGGAGTCATGTTTGCATAGACCACAATACCTGCAGTCATAATGCAAACAAAAAACATAACTGTCCTTGAAGTAAAAAAATGTGTCAGTTTTGTTGCCAGATAGAAGGGTAAAAAAACAATTCTCATATTTTTTTACTGGCAAATGAGGTTCCAATGGTGTAAATGCTTACCCCGAACTCTCATACTTTGATGGTGCATTGTCTTTGAGTTGTGCGCCTTTTGGCGTCATCTGGTCCAACCCATGTGAGACTAGGCTCTAAGGAAAGCTGTCTCGGGTGTGGACCAATCAACTTCAAGGACAGTGCATACATTATCAGAGTTATGTTTTTTGTTTGCATTATGACTGCAGGTATTGTGGTCTATGCAAACATGACTCCTTGTAAAAAAGGTGTCAGTTTTGTTGCCAGATAGAAGGGTAAAAAAACAATTAGCATATTTTTTACTGGCCAATGAGATTCCAATTGGTTTTAATGTTTACTTTGGCAAATACAACTTCTCCAACTGGGTTCCACTGGTTCCTACACGACGCAATGTTTTCAGGTCTGCCAGCCTCCAACTGTTTACAACTGTGTACTGTACCAGCACAAAGCTTTCGGTTGTCGAATTTAATTCATGAAACAATCATCGCTTACGACCCTCTATCAATCCACTGCTGGATGAAGGTCTCCACCCCCCCCCCCCTCCCCACAATGTCAGTTTGATCATATTTCACTCCTCTGGTTAGTGGAGGATGCAGAAGAGGCGGATCCCAGGACCGACTCAGATTTCACTCACCCCACAATGCCACCAATCGTCCCATTCATTGCCAACGGAATAACAAAACCACTGCCTAAGTCCAGAGCCGGCCCAGCCACTAAGCGACCCTTGCAATTGCAAAGGGCCCCGTGGCCAGCAAAGGGCCCCCTAGAGTCACTGCTAGCTAGTGGGTGAAAAAAATCATACATCAAAGGGGCCTCCAACCAAATTTTTCTTAGGGCCCCCAAAGGTCTAGGGCCGGTCCTGCCTAAGTCCAACATCGGAGCTAGAGGTGACTTACTTTTAATGAGGTGAAGTGAAATTTCGATTTAAAGCTTTCGTGACTGCAGAGTCTGCCTTCTCGACAGACCTGTTCTCCACCTGAAGACGGCTGCTTGCGTTGTGGCCGAAACGTCGTGAGAATTATGTTATTATGTTTTATTTTTATTATTTTATTATTTTCCTTCTACGTGACTTTACCGAAAGAACCAAGAAGAAGGTGAAGTGAGTGATGAAGCGACCCCTTTCTTTGTAAGAGCACCCCATCACACAAATGCCACCTAATGCATGAATTAATTTTAAATGCGCGTGACGGTAATGTGCACAATTTATGCATAACGTGTACATTATAAATAAACCAGGAACACATTATCCATGACACTGATGGATGCCACTTAAAATGTTACGTGCATTTTGAAGTTGTGTAGGTGAGTTACTGTACGGTCTGTGGTGTATTGCTTCAAAAAAGTGCATTCATCAAGCCACGTACGGCGGAAACACAAGCATCACACAACATTGTGACTACCACACAATGCATTGCACAGCACGAACAGATTGAGTGTCATGTGATCGTCGTTGAAGACGAATGAGACATCTCAATGACTGCTTTGCAGTGAGGTGTGCTACACAAAATAAAATCGATAGTTGGGCCTACATCTTATAATTCGGAGTGATAATAGTTCTCTTCCGGAAGGCACATTTTGACATATCTTCTTTGGGTCTTTCGGTGAAGTCACGTAGATGGGTGGAAATAAAATAACAAAGAACTACGACGTTTCGATCGCAACGCAAGCGACGACGACCTATCTACGTGACTTTACCGAAATACCCAAATAATATGAATTCCTGCAGTCACGAACGCTTCAAATCTAGAATTACATTTGTAGAGTTACTACGTGCACAATTGTGCCGGTGAGTGTATACGCGTGTGTATAATGTGTCACTGTGCCAATGTGTCAATGAGTGTGTTATCCCCTACGGGAGTGTACGCCACTGAATGTGTGATCGCGAACTGCACTTGTCCCAAAAGTGAGTGAAGGCTACAAGGGGAACTTTGTCTTTGTGTGTAGGGGGGGGGAGGTGTAGTGGTTAGATGTCCCACTCACGGTCAACATTCAGGGGTCGAACATATTTTGACAAGTTGCTCAACATCGTCTTCTGGAAGACGGTTCTCCACAATGTGCGTGTGCGTTGGACTTCTTTCGCACCGTACGTAGCCAACCGTGCTAATCGCAGGCGCGGGGGGGGGGGGGGGGAGCAGCAACAAATGCCTCACCAGCCAAGGTGACAAAAAGACACCACCACCCAATCAGAAGAATCATCCATCTCTCGCCATGGCTCTCTATATAGTACGTCACGGCCTATGCAAAGCAACAGCAAAAAAAATTATGGCCCCAAAGTTCAGGGTGCGTCTTACTTTCCGGAGCGTCCAGAGAACAGAGTGACCGTTGAACTCGAGATCGGCTTCGACAGCAAGCTGGACAAATGCAACATATCCCGAAGTTTACTCCCTTCGGCCGAATCTTATACCCACATACGAAATCAGCTTAGAAGCTGGGCGATTGCGCAGGCTAAGAGGTCAACCATGTACCGTGACCCTAAATCTCGATTGAAAGCTTCTTTCGTGACTGCAGGGATTCATCTTCTTGGTTCTTACGGTAAAGTCACGTGGAAGGGAAGTAATAAAATAATAAAATAAAACATAATAAAATAATTATTACCGTGACCCTGTTTAAAGGGGGGGGGGCATGTAAAACTGAAGGTGGGCACGACAGTCAATGTTAAACGTTAAATAAACGAAAAATGCTAAACACAATGAGTAACGATGCGATCTGATTTTGTCTATCGTACACTCTAGGGTGCCACGGTGGTGAGATGTTAACTACCTCGCCTGGTATACAGAAGGCTGTGGGTTCGATCCCGACCCTGACACCTCCCCATGGTCGCGTGGATTTTTCTCCGTGACCTCCGGTTTTTCCCTCACACATTTAGAATCAACAAGCATTTCGAGTTTTTGGCTGCTATACATTTCCACACGATGATAAGCCACTTCGGTGAGCTACCATTTGTGGCCAGGTCGCTTCTGAAAAATAGCGGGCCTTACCTGGTAAACTATATATTTTTAGTTTAGTTTTAGTTCGCTGTAGCTCTCACACCCCGTGTATAGGAGGAATGACTGCCATGCCCAGCACTTGATTGTGCCCTTTATTAATGCTACCCCTATCCCCTCCCTTTGATGCTGCTAATCCTGCATAATGCGCGGGCATAATGACTTTAAACCCCTCGCCAAACCTCCTATGCATTTCACAAGTAGTACTAATCGCATATCTGCATTTCCCATAAATATGCTAAATTCCTCTTGATATGCAAATTATTTTGTCAAGGCGCTCTTCGCCCCTCCATCCCAGCTTAAATAGTCGCTCCAAGCCTGGGGCTTGTCATTCAGACTCTGTCTCCTCGACAGACCTGTTCTCCACCTGAGGACGGCTACTTGCGTTGTGGCCGAAACGTCGTGAGAATTATTTTATAATGTTTTATTTTTATTATTTTATTATTTTCATTCTACGTGACTTTACCGAAAGAACTAAGAAGATGTGCCAATGTGTTTTTTTATTTGATGCTATGCATCGAGCGGGGGGGGGGGGGGCCCAGCTCCCTCCAGCTCCCCCAGACGCTACGAGGTGTAGAGGGGGGGGGCAGCTCCCTCCAGCCCCCCCAGACGCTACGGGGGTGTGGAGGAGGGGGGGGGGGTAAGGGAAGTACCTGGCTGGGGCGCAGAAGAGTGCATCACGGGTTCGAAGCTTTCTCGACCTCCTCCTTGGAGTTGTTGATGCAGTTTTCCACGTTGTCATGCTGGGGGGATGAGTTGACCAAGCAGTCTTTCCTGGTGGCCACATACAGGGCAGTAACATCACACACGGAGGCGTAGCATCTCATCTGCATTTCGTTTACAATAAATGTTTCCTCCCTGACCTACCAGTGGGGCGGGGGGGAGGGGCGGGAGTGGCGGGGCTGGTGGGGCAGGTGGGGGAGTGTGCCCTAGGCCTCAGATTTTGAGAGGGCCTCAGTAAAAACAACAAGGGCTTCAATTTCGATTTAAAGCTTTCGTGACTGCAGGGATTCACCTTATTGGTTCTTTCGGTAAAGTCACGTAGAAGGGAAATAATAAAATAATAATAAAACATAATAAAATACAATTCTCACGACGTTTTGGCCACAACGTAAGCAGCCGTCCTCAGGTGAAGAACAGGTCTGTCGGAAAGACAGCGTCTGAATGAATGAGATTGTGCTCACGACTGTAAAAGTCACGTGCACCCGGTATTCAGACACTGTCTTTCTGACAGACCTGTTCTTCACCTGAGGACGGCTGCTTGCATTGTGGCCGAAACGTCGTGAGAATTGTATTTTATTGTTTATTTTTTATTATTTTATTATTTCCCTTCTACGTTACCTTACCGAAAAACCAAGAAGAACAAGGGCTTCATCTCGAATTTTCTTTCCCCCGAGCCTTCAAAAATCCTTTCGGCTCGCCTTGACAATGACGCCCCTCTCTGCCGTGAGAATATCCGTCCATCGTGCCGCCAACCAAAAGGCACGGCCGCTTTTGCGATATCAACGCGAGGTTGCACCCGCAGTCGCGGCGACGTTAGTTCGACCCGTTGCCTTGGGGCCTTACTTCTCCTTGTTGGCGTGCATCCTAATGGCGAATTTGACGACTTTCTTGATGATGACGATGAGGATGAGGAGGCCGGCAAGTCCACCCACCGAGGCGCCCACGATGAACATGATGCTCCGGTCCTTGGGCTCGACTTGGGAGGTGGGGACGCGGGCACGCCGCGGGAAAGCAGCACAAGGGGTCGAGCGGTTAGGCAAGCGACCGACCAGTCAACTCGTCCTTCCAACCAAGCAAGCGACTGATTAGTCAAACAACAACAACGGAGCAACCATTCACCCCAATCATCTACCCGGTTAGCCATCTCACCAGTTAGCCAACCAACCCACGTGTCCAACCAAACAACCGACTGCCGGATCAGTCAACCGACCAAACAACGGATAAGCCAAGCAACCAAATGATCACCACCGGGTCAGCCAATTAGTCAACCGACCAACTCATGGTCCAACGGACCGATCAGTCAACCAGGCAACTGCTGATTCAGTGAGAGCTGCAACTGACGACTGCCGAGTCTGGTGAAACGTAGCCAACCATGTTAACCGGAGGTGAATGTATGTATGTTGAACTTTTTTCGCACCGTACGTAGACAACCATGCCAATCGAAGGTGTGTATATTGAACTTCTTTCGCAACCGTACGTAGCCAACCGTGCAAATCGGATGTGCGGGGGAAGGACACGTTTCACCGGGGGGGGGGGGGGAGGATGGGAGGGTTCAGCGAGACACACATACTCTCCGAGACGACGTTGAGGTACAGCAGGGTGGACGCGATCTTGAGCTTGTCGTCGAGGTGCCGGGCCGTGCAGTTGTAGACGCCCGAGTCCTCGAAGCGCGTGTCGTAGAGCATGAGCGACGCGTCCTCCTTCGCTATCTCGCCCGTCCACTGCAGACGCCCGTGGAACTGCGACGCATGCGTGTACCACGCCTTGCCCGCCTTCATGGAGAAGAGCTGCGTCGTGGAACCCCGGGCACGGCGGCCGAGAAATCGGAGCGTCGGTCGAGAAGAGGAGGGAGAAAGAGGAGGAATCATTCTATGGTTCTTTCGGTAAAGTCACGTATAAAGATAAAATAATAAATTAAATAATAGCATACTACGACGTTTCGATTGCAACACAAGCAATCATCATCAGGTATAACAGAAATAGCAACAAAAATCTAACCAGGAAACTATAGACAGACATATAAGCAGACAGATATCACCAAGATACACAGAGAGAGAACACGTATCGATACGTGTATCTTTATGATATCTGTCTGCTTGTATGTCTGTCTATAGTTTTCTGGTTAGATTTTTGTTGCTATTTCTTTTATACCTGATGATGATTGCTTGTGTTGCAATCGAAACGTCGTAGTATGCTTTTATTTATTTTTTATTTTTATCTTTATACGTGACTTTACCGAAAAAACCAAAGAATAATTCCTGCAGTCACGAAAGCTCCAAAATTAAGATTAGAGGAGGAATCATCGCACCGCTGCACGATCCGACCGTGCCCATCCAGTGCTCGCCGAGCTTCATTGGCTTCCAAGTTGCCGAACGAACACGTTCCAAGGTCGCGCTCATTACACACGAAGTGCTTGCCACAGATGAACCACAGCACCTTGCTGATTTCGTCAAGGAGCATAAAGCATCACGCGAACTCCGGTCATCCGCACAGCAGCGGCTTTTGGCGAGCCGTCGAACAAAGACGGTCACTGCCTAGCGCGCTTTCAGATGTGCTTCTGCGGCCGTCTGGAACGCTCTTCCTTGTGATATTAGGAAGCCACTGGAGCCATGCACTTTTAAATCTATATTAAAACGAATTCCTTTACAACTCCTTTTTTGTGTTACCTCCAATTAGCACGGTTAGCTACGTACGACGAGAAAAGAAGTTGAACACTCGTATGATCATTCGAGTAGAACATTACACGACTATGGATAGGCGCTCCCAGTGCTCTATCGATACACGGCATGCCCACCTATCACTACGATAACCTCCACTCAGAGCCAGCACAACAGCGTTACGGAGGATACCAAGTTAAACCTACAAACTCGTTTTTTATGTGACCAGGTAAGGCCCACTGAGCTATACACCTCTCTCTCGGAAGCGATCTGGCCACAAATGATAGCCCAACAAAGTGGCTCATCACGTGGTAATTTATAGCAGCCAAATACTCGAAGCGCATGCCCATTCTAAACGTGGAGGGGAAAAAACGGAGGGCCTAGAGAGAAAAATCCACGCGACCACGGGGAGAGAGAGACACGCAAACTCAAAATATACAGCAGCAGGCGTCAGAATCGGGATCGTACCCACGACCTCCTGTATACCAGGCGAGGGAGTTAACATCTCCTAGCCACCGTGATGATGAGAGAGACACTGCAAACTCAAAATATACAGCAGGCGTCAAGGGTCGGGATAGAACCCACGACCTCCTGCACACCAGGCGAGAGAGTTAACATCTCCTAACCACCGCGGCGTCCAGCCTGCAGATGAGGTCACGTGCTTTGTCAGTGGGTGTACAGCTGGGGGGGCCGGGGGGGGGGGGTCCGGCCGGGCCGTACCGCGCGCTGTCTCAGCGTGGAGTTGAGGCCGTAGAACCAGTGCACGTTGATGACCGCGGCCTTCATGCGGTAGCAGGACATGATGCGGCACTTGAGGGTCACGTTCGTCCCGTTGAGCACCGTCAACTTGTTCTCCTTGATCTCCACCTCGATGCACGCCATCGGCACGGCTGCAGGCAACAAAGACAACGATGCCCCCCCCCCATCCCCGTGCACCTCGTTATAGACTGCTGGGGAAAGTGCCGATCGCGACCCACAACGAGGACTTGTGCGGCCGTGAATGCAACCAGATTCGTGTGCGCACACACACACATAGATCCCCCATATAGCCTTAACAGACTCTAGGGGCAAGTGCTGTTAGCGAGCACCTATGAAGGTCGGCACGGCACACGAGGGGATGGGTGGCCAACACCACGCCCGGCCGCCTTTGTCTCCCTAGTGACGATGTTTACACATCGCACCAGGTACTCATTTGAGGTTGAGTCGACCTAGGGGAGGCCCGGGATCGGTTCAGATAATCGTCACTGGTGTTGACCGTGAGCATGAATCGAACCTGGGTCGCCAGGTTCATAGCGCAGTGCGCTACCCACTCCACTAACGCTCCCCACACACAGACACACATTAATACATACAGACCCACACACACCAACACACACGTGTGTACACGCATGCACACATGAGCACCGCTGTCAGCCGTGGCGGCTGGGGATTTAACTCAGCTCGCTGGTTTCAACACGTGCGGACCGATGCGCTACTGCTCCACCACCGCGCAATGATTATCTTTGGTTGCAAAAAATATACGTGCGCGGCAGCGGCGTACACGAGTGTGCGTTCAGTGCACCCTCAAATGGAAACGCCCGCGTTGATAATGCATTTCTCGTGAACTATAAATGTGCCGTCGCACTCGCTGGGCTGCCGCTCCCTCAAGCAGCAACGTGCAGCGCTATTGAAGATGTAGCAGGCGACATGTGCTTAGTGACACGAGCAGGGTCGTCGTATGAACTTGGGGGAAGAGAGACGATGGGGATGGGTGAAGCAGAAAAAGAAGGCACGTGGCTTGAAATGCGGCAATGGTGGTGGTGGTTGAACGCGGCGTGCGGGATGAGACGTGTACGAAATCGCGTGCGAGAGAACCGATGATTCAGAATGTGGGCAAGCTGTATGCAAACGCTGTGGTGATGCTCCTATCGATGTTCCTTTCGGGCTGACGGAGTGAGGAGCATGGACAAAACAAGAAGAAAATGCGACCAAAAGATACACGGGCAAAGAGTAAAAATTCTACCGAAAAAAAACTCAAGTTCTTCCTATCTATGTGTGTACGTTGAACTTCTTTCACACCGTACGTAGCCAACCGTGCAAATCGGAGGTGGGCGGGAAGGACAACAAACCAGAACACAAAAATCAGTTCTCAAACAAACAAACAACAATGCCCCTTCTTCATGGTGGTTCAAATTCATAGATATATTCATGGCAATGTGAACCACGGTATGAGCGATAGAAGAGCGATAAGCTAGAGGCGCCTTGGCCGCCACCGAGCGAGCGACCGGAGTGAATCGGTGAAGAGTGTTCGATCGTCGGCCTGGCAGCCTCGACATTGAATTCCCCGCCAGTGTGGTGGGCGGTGAGCGAGGCGGGTGTTCGTGTGCGCGTCCTCACCCAGCGCTAGGCACAGCACCACCATCACCACAGGTGTCAGCCACGCGGGCCAGCGGTTGGACACGCTCACCGCTGCTTCACTCCCGCTCGCCATACCTGGGGGGGGGGGGGGCAAGGGGCGGGAGGGGGTCAGAGATCACGCAAGCAGGGCAGAGGTCGTATAAGGCTTGACCCGCTGTTATTCCACGTATTCTTATTTTGTTTTGTTTGGCAGGGTGTTTAGGAAGTTGAGGTTGGCGGGCCAGCGGAGGGCTACAGGTGTGACGCTGTGAATATCTCAGAAGCTGCCAGTGATTGAGCAAAGTGTGACATCATTGGACGATGCGTTCCACGGATTTCGCTTTGATAGCCACCGTCACAATGTGGGCCACTTCACTGAGCCCTACTGACAGGGCCCTACTCAGCCAGCGCTAATCAGCTGCGAGGTGGCCATAAGATGACAAGACAGCAAATCCATCTAAAATATTTCATCGGTCGCAGCTTCCAAAGACACAAAAACCCAACACATTTGTCAATAACACTGTGATAATAGGTTTTTTTCCCCTTTTTCTGGCAACAAAACAGGTGTTAAGATATTAAAACACCAAACTGAAACCTTTTTTCAAGGAATCTTGCCTGCATTAACCACAATGCTTGTGGTCAGAATGCAAACAAAAAACATACTCTGATAATAAATGCATTGGCCTTGAAACTGATTGGTCCACACCAGAGACAGCTTTCTTTTGAGCCTCGTCTCAAACGGTGTTAGACCAGCGGACGCCAAAAGACACTGTGCTTAAAGGGATATATATATAACAGCCACCGTTTCTAACAATGGTCCTTTTTAAATCCTTTATATTAAGTTCGCTTGCTTGTGTGCTTGCGTGCTTGCTTGCTTACGACCGTGCAAATCTTTCGGTCGTTTTTTAACCCACTTCCCGTGATCCAATCAAACTGACATTTTCCACACATACTCGTTGTGCGTGACAATTAGTTTTCGTGAAAAAAATATTTCCAAAATTTTACACTGTTTAGGGAAAATGTTTTAAATATTTAATTAGCAATTGCTTAATTCTGGCAGACAATCATCTGACCCATAGGTGGCAGCCATCTCAAGCCAGAGGACGAGAGGACTCTAGCCGCCACGCATATAAAGGATTTAGAGTGAATAACTTTGTTTTTACGGGTTAATTTTTTCATAGCCCATTGCCCAAAAACGTCACCTACGATGTGTCGTTTCCCTTGTAGGGCAGTGCAATCGGTGAATGCGCCGAGCTTTTGTTACACGCGTGCCTTGCGCACCGCGACCAACGCGTCGGCATCGCCAAACAACTGTCGGAGAAACACAGCGGCAGTAAAAAAAACGCACCGCTCGAATCAACCGCGCAAAACGCACCTCCGATTAGCACGGTCGACTACGTGCGGCGCGGAAGATTTTCGATGTGCGAACGGTGCACGCAACGCCCATTGAAACGCCGTTCACTAGCGGCGCACCTCAAGCCGGCCCCAGGAGCAGGCGTAGCTTGGGGCGTTTTGTTTTGGAACATTTCGCCGCGGCAAACGGAATGAAAGCGGTTGTCACCTGTGAGAGGCCGTCGATCCACGTCGCCATGGCAGCGGCAGCCTGGGACCGGCCATCATCAGGGGGACGGTGGCCAGGATGTACGCTCGAGTAAGTGCACCTATTTATATATATTTTATATGTGTAAGTGTGTGTGTGTGGGGGGAGCGGTAGCGTAGTGGTTAGCGCGCCGACGAATATCTGAACCGGTCCTGGGGCTACTCATTTGAGGTAGAAGTCCTGGGACTCGGCCTCAAATGTGTAAACTTCCCCACTCGGGAGACAAAGGCAACCTGGCGCAATTCTGGCCAACCACCTATTTGTGTGCTATGCCGGCCTTCATATGTGTTCGCTAACAGCACTTGCCCCGATTAGTCTGTTAAGGCTACACGGGGGGATCTTTGTCTTGTGTATGACGTGTATTTGGGTGTGTGTCATTTGTTGGTATTATTATTTGTACGTATGTTGATTGGGTTTCCTCGCTGTGTTTTCCAGTCGCGTCCCTCTTGTGTGCCCCCGACGGATTGTTCCACCTCTTTACCTTCCAGAATGTTTCCATCGTTCGTCGCCATTGTTTGCTATGACGACGAAGTCACTTGGCAGGTATGAGATGGCCAATGGCAGCTCCCTGTTTATCCCCATCACTTTTGTTTCTCCAAATGCAATCCTCCGAATGGACTCCAATTGTGCAATCGGTGTCATGCCATGAGACAAAGGGCCCCTTGCGCCAGAAAAGCAGATTTGGAAGAGTTTTTTTTTAAAATATATATTTAAATGATATTCTTTCCACAGTAAAAAATGTACAGTAAAGAATTAAATAACACAGTAACACCAACAGGAAAACTAAAAGTGTTATTGTTTGGGAAAAATGGAAGGAACCAGAAAGAGGAAGACCTCGCACAGAACGGCTTTACGACGACAACAACGTCGACATGAGAAGAGATCGGTGCCACTACTTGAGCATATTGGCACAAGACAGAGGGGAAAGTGGAAACAAATGACAAAATGTGCAGTGGACGCCTCCTCTACCCATGGAGCGTGATGATCATGATGATGATAGCATCTTGGGGGCCGCACTCTCCCTACACACTCTGCCCGGAGATTGTTTTGTCACGTGACAATGGAACCAACATTTTTTTAATTCGTAGAGCTGGAATTCACTCAAATCAAATGCAAGGGGGAGGGGGGTGGGTGCTTTTTATTGTCGTCATAATTGTTGGCCGTGCAAAGGTCATCGCCCCACTCGAGAACGCGGTGCGTTCGTGGGTGCCTGCCTGGCTTCTAACGCAGGACCACAGCGGTGCCAGGTCAGCCCTCTGATCTCTGAGTCACCCAGCTGTCTCCACCAGCAGTTCTCAATGACACGCGCCAACAACAACAACAACACACACCATCACCTAGGGGATTATCTCCGTCCCAACATGCATGACAAAGATTTGTTTTCTGTCATCCTTATATTCTATATCCAGGAACATGACGATAGCAAGCACGCATTGAGAACAGCAGGGCACACGAGGGAAATTACGTGGCCAGCCACGATCTCAACCACCTTTGTATCTCCGGTTCTGATATTTATACACCGCACCAATTTCCTCGAGGATACTGTTTACACACTCAAGGCGGATACTGGACTCGTATATCAGTCTCAGTCAGCCGAGCAGAGAGTTCCCGAGAATAGTTCCGGCACTGATGTTAGCCGTGGACGGCGATTGAACTCGGGTCACCAGGATTGCATTGCAATTGCACGCACGCAAGCGACAAAGGTCCCCTGTATAGCCTTTACAAAGCTGAGCGAATACCTATTTTACTGGTAGGAACCACCTGGTTCCACCAGCCCACAGGGGATTATTGTGTCCGTCCGTCCGTCGTGAATTCAAAAATGGGAGGGGTGGGGCTGGGTTGAGAGGGGAGGGTGGGGAGGGGCTTGGTGGGGAGGAGAGGGGAGGGGCTGGGTGGGGAGGAGAGGGTGGAGAGGGGCTGGGTGGGGAGGGTGGGGCTGGGTGGGGGGTGGGAGGGGTGGGGCTGGGTGGGGAGGGGCTGGTCACCCCGTGGTGCCCTTATAAAACTCAACGTTTAACCTACTCACGCCGGCTTGTGCCCACCCTCACAGTCGGGCATATTTGCGGAATACACCACGCCGCCGTTGACCCTGGCCATTGACTGAGCAACCCAACGTTCATACCAGCTCCCTCCGCTAGAATGTGTTTCACAGACGTCTACTGCACATCTTGTAAAAAAAGAAGCGTTATAGCTCATCGGATTCCACCCCCCTCCCCCCAGTAAAAATACAGATTCTGATTAATATTATTTGGGTCTTTCGGTAAAGTCACGTAGATAGGTAAACATTTTTTAATTATAAAATTATTATTTTAACCTATTTACGTGACTTTACCGAAAGACCCAAAGAATATGAATTCCTGCAGTCACGAAAGCTCTAAGTCAAGATTTTGATTAAGCCTGGCACGGCACAAGGCACGCGAAGGGGTGGTGTGGCCAGCACGATTGCCCTGCCACCCATCTTTACCCCATTGCCTCCCTCGTACAAGAGCAGCCTTGTGCAAAGACAAAGATGTCCCGTGTAGCATTAACCAGACTGTTGAGGCAAGTGCTGTTAGCGAGTAACACCTATGATGGCCGACACGTCACATGAGGCAGTGTCGGATTATGCTAGTAGCAAAAGTAGCTACATATGTAGTAGCTACAACATATGTAGTAGCTACAACATATGTAGTAGCTACATATGTAGTAGCTACATATTACATATGTAGCTACTAAATATGCTACGGGCCCCGCACTTTCAAGGGCCCCGCGCTAAATGCTTTCACGTTATCAATTCCGGTTCAGTGATTCTGCACTTGCTCTATTACTAGAGTACTATACCGCCCTCAACTTTTATGAACGACTGCGATGCTTGGAGGCTAGCGATTTGTCGTATTATCTGGTTGTATAGAAAATACAAAAATACAATTACTCTACTGTGCAAGTAAAAAAATTGTGTTTTAATATTTACGTGTTTATTTATTTATTTAGGGCCCCTTTATAACATATGCTACAAGCCCCGCACTAGCTTCATCCGGCACCGCACATGAGGGGGGTGGGTGGCCAACACCCCGCCCGGCCGCCTTTGTCTCCCCTAGTGGCAACGTTCACACACCGCATCGGGTACTCAATTGAGGCTGAGTAGACCCAGGGGAGATGCCCAGAACCGGTTCATATAGTCGTCACTGGCGTTGACCGTGGGCGGAAATCGAACCCGGGTCGCCAGAATCGTAGCTCAGCGTGCTCACCGCTACACTACACACACACACGTGGGGACACACACACGTGGGGACACACACACACACAAACATGGACAAACACACACGTGGACAAACACACACGTGGACAAACACACAAACACAAACGTGGACATACACACAAACACACACGTGGACAAACACACACGTGGACAAACACACAAACACAAACGTGGACATACACACAAACACACACGTGGACAAACACACACGTGGACAAACACACACGTGGACAAACACACAAACACAAACGTGGACAT